CTTTTGGTGTCTAACAAACTGTACAGAACACGCTTGTATTACAATCATTATATTAATGCAATGGATGTTGTTGCTTGTCTTTACTATTATGCATTGTTATGATACTGTACATGACGTCCTCCACCCCAGAACGTATTTCGCCGTTCTCGGTTTTGGGGTGTGACAATAAACTTTGTTCGATTGTTAGAATTAGACTTCTTCATGGATGGTAAATTTGACAAATCTGAAAGTTCTTTTCATGAAATATTGGACTATGATTTCGTGACAAAAACTTTGGATTTTGATTTTTGATTTTCGAAAAGTCTTTGTTTGAAGTTGATTGAGACAAATGCTTTTCAGACAGAGCGGGATTTTTCTTTGTAACTGAACTTGTTGAAGACTTTGTCTTAACCTTTTCAGACATTTTCTTTCAGTTGGTTTCTTTTGCAAATCATTTTGTTTCTTTCGAGATTCAACAAATTGCCAAAAGATTTTCTTTCTAGCTTGTCTCTTTGAAATGCCATTTTCTTTCGAAAAATTTTCAATTTTGATCTTTAAATTCTTTTGAATTTATTTTCTCATTTTATGAGTCAGCTTCCAAGTTCATTTCAACTTCATTCGACATTTTTGATTTTTCAACCCATGTTCGTTGAGGTTTTGATCTTTGAAAAGTATATGAATTCTTTGTTGGATTATTTTCAACAGTGCTTTGATTAGAGAAAAAACCTTCTTTCGAAGTGTGCTATCTTCTTCTACCAATTTGTTAAATTCTGGCTTGATGTTATCAACATTTCCAGTAGTAAGAAATACTTGATTTGGAAAGACGACATCATCAGAACACTTGAAATTTGGATAAACAACAGTATTTGTTTCGAGATAATGAGCAACATTTTCTTTGAACACTTTGTCGAAATTTTTTGTTTCACCATACACTTGATCAACAACAATTCTTGGAATTTCATTTTCTTTCGAATCATCAGTTTTTGAGGTTGTATTTTTTGAAATTTCTTCATAGTCCTTCTCATCATCACTACTGTCAGTATCGCTTTCTCTAACACTCACATTATCAAAATCACAATCTTTCGAAGTGGAGGCGTGATCAGTGTCAGTCTTAACGAACGAATCATTACATTTTTCTTTGCCTTTACTCAAAGATGTGGCATTAATGACAGACAACTGAGAACAGTCGACAGTTTCTTCTTCCTCAATTTCACTAATTTCGCTAATATTATCAGAATTATCTTCAATATCAGCAAAAATAGTTTGAGAATCAGATGTCGAATTCTCAGTTCTTTTCAAAATCTTCATTTGTTCATTCTTGGTTAAGGTTTCATTCACAATGTCAACTAATTCATTAGCATCCAAACATTCATCAATTTTCACAATTCCATATTTTTATCTATTATCTGGAACTTTGTCAAAATCAGAAATATTCTTCTCACAATCATAAGAAGTCTCATCTACCTTTTCTCTTTCATAAGCTATAAATGGTAGAAGCTTCCTATGTTGTTCTTTACTAATTTCACACGAATGATGTAATTCAGTTAATTTTCCATAGAGTCTCTTAGCAGAATTACAATATATGTTCCTCTGTTTCAACAGGATCGTATTATCAGTGCTAAGATTATCTCTATCTATCATAATATTGGTTATCTGCAATTCTAAACAATCTATCTTAGTCTTCTTTGTTTCCAAGATTCTTTGAGTTTCTAGTAACCGAGTACTAGTTTTCTTAGCTTCATTGCTACCAGAAATAACAAGATTATTCACATAAGTAACAGAAGCATCAAATTCAGTTAATACAGAATCATATGCGGATGAAGGAATGCTAAAGGATTGAAGTAGAGAACGTACCTTTGCAGTCATTGGTGCATTATCTCCAGATTTCGAAACAAAGCATCTGCCTGTCATATTTTCTTCTTCGACATCCTCATACCTTGCATGCATGGCCCCATGTATATCCAGTATAATCATCTATAAAAGATACATAATAGGTTGACCCACCCTTTGTGGATACTGGTGTAGGACCCCATACATCAGAATGAATAATGTCAAAAGGAGAAGTAGAACAAGACATACTTTTATTGAAAGGCAAAGTAGAGAATTTTGCCAGTTTACAACCACTACAATCAGAAATATCACAAGTGTCTAAATGACCCAAAACACCACTAGATGCTAAAAAACTCAAACGTAATACAGAAACATGTCCCAAACGAGAATTCCAAAGATAAAACTCAGACGACAAAGGACTCAAACGGAAAGAAGATAAATCAATGCTGGAGGCAGAAACAACAGATACTTTGAGAACCTCCAAGACATATAGTTCCCCCACCCTACGGCCGATCCCAATCACCTTCTGGGTGTGTTGATCCTGTATAACACAGACATAATCAGAAAAGAACACCCAGTTACCAGACATACATAACTGACTAACTGAGGCAAGATTCAAAGTAAGTTTGGGAATGTAATAAACATCAGGGAGAGTGATATAAGAAATAGAGACAGACCCAACACTCTCAACTAGCATAGATGCATCATTAGCAGACTTAACAGAAATAGATGACACTTGCGAGAAAGAAGTAAATGATGACAAATGAGGAGTCATATGATGAGTTGCACCAGAATCTAAAATCCACAAAGATGAGGGAATACCTGATGTACCAGATGACGTAGGACCAGAATGAGACATAGATGCAGACATGGCAATGGGATTAGAGGCCAAATATTGTCTGAAACTCTCAAACACCTTGGGATCCAATGCAGATGGTGGCATGGTTTCAACATAATTTGTATCAATTGGTGGTATAGCAGCAGCAAACTGTGGAGGACGAGGGGTCCATGAAGGAGTACCAGAGGAACGTGGCTGAAACTTTTGTTGACCAGACCTATTTTGTTGTCCCGACTGAGGTTGACCAGATTTACCCTTGTTTACTAACAATGGACACTGAGCTTTCCAATGATTTTTCTTTTTGCAGAATGCACACTCATCATAAGCAACCTTTGAAGGTTATCGAGATTGGTTAGAGGAAACAACAAGCACAGTAGTAGTGGGAGTAGGAATAGAGGTTGCTTTAAACCCTTTATCTGCATGAGACTTGATACGAGTCTCTTTTGCAATTAACTCATGGACAACAGAATCAACTGAGGGAAGAGGAGAGCGATGAAGAATTGTTCCACGTAGACCTTCAAAATCAGAATGCAAGGCCATCAAGAACTGGACCAAGCGTTGTTCTTCCCTCCTAGCAATGTAAGGCTCAAAGTCTTTAAACTCTTTAGATTCAGTAAGAGCTAATTGATCCCATAGATCAGACATAGCAGCATAGAAATCTTGAATGCTCTGGTCATTTTTTTGAAGAGTACGAATATCATATTCCAACTGGTATTGTTTAGCAAAGTTAGACTGAGTATACAGCCTTTCCAAGTGATTCCAAACTTCCTTTGCTGTGTCATATTTAGCTAACTACATACCAATAAACTGAGTGACAGAGTTATTAATCCAAGTAATTACCTTGGAGTTATCAGTCTCCCAAGCATCAAGTAACAAATCAAAATTCTCAGTTTGAGGTATTGAGGGTTTGGCTTTAGTCCCAGTGACACAGCCCCACATATTCTTCCCACGAAGAAAGTTCTTCATAACGTAACTCCATACGTATAATTCTTTCCATCCAAACGAGTACTGATTGACTGAAGGGAATCATCATTTCCAGTCATGTTGACAATGAATAAATAACCACAATGACAGTATAGCAATCTGTGAATGAGAGAAGTAACAAACCAGCAGAAGCAATCAATCGGACAACAAGAAATCGAACAACAACAACGAATCATCAGCAACAACAAACGAAATTCACCAACAAAAATCACATCAACAACGAATACCAGCAACAACGAATCAACAACAACCAACAACGAATACCATCTGCTACAGTAACCCTAGAAAAGTTCGATCTGTGCCACAGATGACTGCTATAGAGGCTTCTAACAACGTATTAAACCTCCGCTATGATACCATGATAACATTGTCATATGATTATAATAAAGAAAAATTACAAGGGTTCTCAATGAAAGGCATAAAGACTACAAAGAATAAAGCAGATATAAATACTAGGTAGACAAAACCCTAATGGGCTAAAGACTAAAGAGCCCATAAACAAGTGGGCTAATAATATATAGGCTAACAAGAATAAAAAAAGATGGTGCCTATTTTTTATGTGTTCCCACTTACAAATAATCATGGTAGGATGATTGAGTTAACTATTTTCCTTCATTTTATAGTATAAAAAATATTCATTTTTGAATCTTACAATTGATATGAGATGTATGTGATTTGAATATTATTAGACTTTTAACCTTCTAACCTCTCTCATATCATATAGGCACTTCACCTATACCATAGAATATTAATTTTTATTATTTTATGGATTACTTTACTAATGGTGTGATATTTATATATAGAACAATGTCATTTGTGTATTTCGTTTCGTTCATTTTTTTTTCGCTTTCTAGATATAGAAAAACGGAACCGAATCTAAAAAATCGGCGTTTCTAAAAACAAGTACCAAACCATCGGTTTTTCAAATGGTTCGATTTTTCGGTTTCTTTCGATTTTTGGTCTCGTTTCGATTTTTTTGAACACCGCTAAATTTTACAACCTTAACGAAACCATGCCAAACTATTGGTAACGGACCAAACCACATTGCAAAAAATAAAATGTCTCCAAAGTTTAATATGCAAAAATAAATAAATAAATAAATAAAATAAAAAATAAAAAATAAAAAATTGGGGTTTTGACAAACGTGGGCTGAAGACATCCACCCTATGTATAATTTATAAACACCAAACGTCGAGCATAACCAATGCGTGGTTTTCATCTACATAATTTTCTCTTCTCTCTCTATCACACGAATGCACAGCCCTCTAAACTCGGTGGTTTTTACTCTCTTCAGCCAAACAATTTTAACCAATATTTCCTCAAAAGCTTGTTCAACCCTCTCTCTCTCTCTCTCTCTCTCTCTCTCTCTGTTCATTAATTCCTCAAAAACGTAATTAAAGAAGTCATTGATTCATTCATCCAATGAAACGTCCGGTTCCTCCATTGTCCACCGTTCGTGCAGACCCACCGTCATCGCCACGTTACCCACCACCAGTCAGCACGCCAACCGCCAACGCCCAACGTCGTATTGCCATTGCCGTAGACCTCAGTGATGAGAGCGCCTTCGCCGTTCAATGGACTGTTCAAAACTACCTCCGTCCAGGTGACGCCGTCATCCTCCTCCATATCCAACTCACCTCCGTCCTCTACGGCGCTGACTGGGGCCATGCAATGGATGCCGAAAACGCATCCAAAGAAACACGGCAGAAACTGGAAGACGATTTTGATAACTTCACCACCGCAAAAGCCAACGTTCTCTCGCAACCATTGGTGGAAGCAAACATCCCGTTCAAGATTCATATCGTGAAGGATCATGATTTGAAAGAGAGGCTATGTTTGGAGGTGGAGAGGCTTGGATTTAGCGTCATGATAATGGGGAGTCGAGGGTTTGGAGCTTCAAAGCGGAAGGCCAAAGGGAGGCTTGGAAGTGTTAGTGATTATTGTGTACGTCATTGTGTCTGTCCGGTGGTGGTTGTTAGATATTCCGATGAAGACGGTGGCGATGATGCTAGCGGAAAGAAAGTCGGGACAGATGAGGTGGCGAAACAACGTGGGTCGGAAGAGGTGTTCCACGATGCTAAGGATCATGTTTCCAAAGGTAACCTGCAATTTATTTAAGTTGATTAATATCTAATTGATAACAAGAAATCAAATGAAATATGGAACGATTTTATATTTTAATTAAGTTGTAAATGTTTTTTTTTTCTTATTTTGAGCATTATGAAACACATGTCTTCTAGTTGTAATGTTTTTCAAGTGGCTTCAATTATAATATTGTTTATGTTATTAAATAACTGCAGGCACCTAATCATGATGCCTTTACAAATCCATCTTGGAGGAGAATATTGGTTACAATAATTTTATCATATAATTTGTTGATTAATTTGACAAAATGAAACACATCATTTATCTTGCAAAAGTGTACATACTTTCTATGTATTTGTTTTCGATAAGGAAAAATGATATATAATGCATGTGATATAAACAAAATTACACGATTCAAATTATAGTAAACGATATTTTCTAGCATTGCTAAAATAGTAAGTGTACACAATTGGAGGTGGCATATATGGTTGACAAATGACAAGCGGCTGTAATTTCTCATGCAGCAACCAGCTGGGAAGAGCTCTTAGTGATGGTTTTGAATATGTTTCTCCTGTTTAGATAGCTGTTGCATTTCTCCTTAAAGTTCTTTTTGTGATTTTAGTGATGCTATTAATTAGGGATTCCTTTATGCTACCTTAATATAGCATTCGAAAACATATATATTTTGTGGTTCAACATTTGAATAAGTAATAAATATACATGATTGGTATAAGTTGACAACAGTTGGTCTTGTACGTAATTAGGATTGCCCCCAACTCACTCGTGTATGTAAAATATTTATTTATTGGTGTGTTCAGTGCCAGAGAATGAATTACTAAGATTTCACTATTAAGACATATCCAATCAATCTCCATTTTCCCCCATAAATAAAATAAAAAATAGGATAAATATGTTTCATGTTCAACCTTACTCTATTTTGTATCTCATTTTTTACCTTAAAAATTATATTTCTAAAATATTCTATTTTTATAACTTATATATATTGTCAAATAAATCTCAAACTTCAAAAATGGTCTCTGTGGTTTTCAAAAATATCAAGTTTAATCCCTAAGTTCAAAAAATCTCACAGATGGTCCCTGTGGTTTCAAAACTTTTAACATTTGGTCCTTCCGGCTCACTCTGTCAGCATTTCACCGTTAAGTGCGGAGTATTTTCGTCATTTCAATACCCAGGGACCATTTATGAGGTTTTTTCTATTTAAAAAATAATAATAATAATAAAATATAAATATTTAATATAAAAGGGTCCTACCCTCTCTCTCTCTCTCTCTCTCTCTCTCTCTCTCTCTCTCTCTCTGTGACATGAGCTGTATGCTTCTGTAACTCTAGTGTGTGTAATTCTTCTCTCCATTTTCCCTTTCGTTTTTCTCTATCTGCATTTGTTGTGTTGGTAAATTCTCCTGTAAAAAACATGGCTAGAGCTTCTTCTTTTATTACTTCTTTTTCTTTATTCTTCATTTACCCATCCATCTAATCCGGGGTGAAAATCCCTCCAAGATCTCGAGCACGCAGAGTAGAGAGTATACGTAAGCAAAGGGTAATTCGGGGAATCTCTCATATTCCAGTAGAAGCACTAAGAAGAATCAGAATTAGAATCGGTTCAATTGGGGAAAACCCTCTTCTTCAAGGTCTCAACAGTGTAGGAGGAGGCCCTACTTCTGAAACAAACCCATCATTCTTACATTCTTCTAAAGCGGCAGGGGGTAATCGAAGACACCGTTCACGCCCATTCTCAAGATTAATATCGGAAAGTGCTGCTTCTCTTTCCTCCATTTCATCTGCCCTAAACAACGCAGAAAGATTGATTGAAGATCTTGAAACATACATCAATGATCGACTTTTGAGAAGTACAAATGTTTCACAGATTCTACCAGGTAATCAAGAACACAATACTTATCTTCCAAATGGTGGTGATATTTAATTTCAACTGCTTAGAATGTAGAGATGAATACGAATCCAAATCTAAATCCTACTGTCCCTGTTTCTTCTAGTTCTTCACAAAGAGCGATTGCTACTACTATTGTTCATTTGGATAATCTATCAACTAATAGTGCTGTAGAGATTGATCTTACTATATCGCATCCTTCTTCTTCTTCTGCTAGGAGAGCTGCTGTTTTAAGGGCGTTGAGTTTGGAAGGTGGAACTTCCGATTAAGAAGAATAACAGGTTGGAGAAGATAAGTGGGTGGTGCTTCGTAAGAGAGAGAGATTAAATTTCTTTCATTTTTTCTTTTTTTTTTTAATAAAAAATTAAGATAATAAGAGAAAACCTCATAAATGGTCCTGGGATTGAAATGACAAAAATACCCCTCATTTAACGGTGAAATGCTGACGGAGTGAGCCAGAAGGACCAAATGTTAAAAGTTTTGAAACCACAGGGACCATCTATGAGGTTTTTTAAACTTAGGGATTAAACTTGATATTTTTGAAAACCACAGGGACCATTTTTGAAGTTTTGTCTATATTTTTTCATTACAAAAATATTACAAATTATATTATCATAAATAAAATGTTTATATATAATAATTTTAAATTAATTATTATTTATTATAAATAATTATTAAATAAATAAGATTATATTTATAATAAATATATCAAGATCACGATCATATTTGATTACTATATTTTATAAATTATGTTATCATGTTTAAAGTATTTAGTATATATTTAATTTTTTTTAATATGAATTCGATAAATAAAATATTAAACTCTATATTTATTATTAGTTAATATAAATTAGTATATAACATGATATTGCAAATATTAAATATTGCATTTAAATTATAATTAATAGATAAAAATAAACTAGAAATGTGTAAAATAAAAATAAGAATGACTAAAATTGGCAACCGAAACTTCAACTCTATTTTTAGATATATGAATAGTACTCCCTCAAATATGGGGGAATAGTATTTATATATTAAAAAATGAATATGAAAATAGGGTATGGTCGAAGTCATCCTTTAAACAATAGTTTAGTTATATATTAAATCAAGAGACCTTAAAGAAAATATAAAAGTTATCGATCCTCATAATTAGTGTGTCTTTATTAATTTGTAAACCCAAAATCTAATAAATAGCAAACACAAAAATTTCATTTTAATTTTAAATTATATATATCATGGTTCAAACGAGAATTCAAGAAAATTAAGAATCCTAAAAACCATTTTTTTAAATGTATTCATTAAAAGCATTTTGGAAAAAATCCAACATTTATATTGTATTAAACAAACTTTTTCATTCCTAGTTTACAAACTACTTGACACTTGTCGTCGAACCACCGTCAGACCACCTTCGGACCATCGTCGGACTAACATTAAATTTAGTGACATTTTTCTGATCGTATTCACAGCTTAATAGAACAAAAATTATAGCTCTCATTTCTTTCGTAATAATTTTTACTTTTCCAGCCAAAATATACAAAATTTTATTAAAAAAAACAAAATTATGTCTTGAAAATTTTAATTTAATTTAATTTTTTTTTTCTAAATTGTAGATTTCTTTAAAAAATATAATATATATATATAATTCACAGTTTTATATATACAAAATTCACAACTTAATAAAGTCAAATCTTAAATTAAACAAAAAATTCCAAATTTCCGGGTTAATGCAGTCAATTCACAGTTTAAAACACAAAAATCACAGCTTAATACACAAAATTTACACCTTAATAAACTAAATTCGCAGTTCAATACACAAAAATTATGCATCCACAACCATATTATCAACTTAAACTCTTAATATAGTCAATTCATAACATAATATATAAAATTCACAGTTTGATAACGTACATTCACGACTCATTTACAAGTTAAAACCTACATCTAGTGGCGTTTGGAAGTTATATTAGATAGTAGTTCATACACTCGTCACAATTTACAACTTAAAAAAAACTACATTTATATTATTTGAGAAAACACTAGCATAATAATACAGATTCTAAATTTAATTCACATCATAAAACTATAGATCATAAATTGCAAATAACAATTTTACGCAAATATTATAACAAATAAGAAAACAAACTCGGAATCACAACTCAACAATAGATAAAACTAATTTATTCTTAATAAAAGAGTACTTTGCACGCCACGTGTCCCTTTTTTGCATCTCCAACTTGCCACGTGTCATTACCAGGGAATTCTTATGAGTCCTTTTCCCGCCCATTCTTTGCACCACAAAGTCGAATACATCATCTCCTATAAATTAGCTCACACATTTTGAATTACCTACAAATATACACTGATATCAATATCAATATCATTCCTATATTTATGGCCAATCCTACATTTATGGTTATTTGTTTTACCGCATATATACTGAACTTAAAAACATAAAAGTCGAGCATATCATCTCCTGTAAATCAGGAATCAAATTAATCCAAATTGTTTCTACAATGTAAACTGCAATTTCGTATTTTTTTCTGCCGATTTTCAAATTTAAATCAATTACCCACTAATCAAATCCATAAAAATCAGGAATAAAATCTGCAAAATAAAATACTTTTCTGCAATTAACAAATTTATTGTTTTTCATTTCTCTGCATATTTATATGAAACCATCGAATTGCACATAATCTTCTACTGCTTTGCCCTCGAATTTGAGTTTCCTATCTGCTCTGCTCTTCCGATTTGCAAAAGGTTAGTAATACATTCTTTTCTATTATTTTTTTCTTTTAACATCAAACTCCACATCGTTTTCTTTAATTTCAATCATTATTTGTTCTCTTTTATTTCTGTCTTTGTGTTGAGACTGTAATTCTTTTCTTTTAACATCACGATGGAACATTGGATAATGATGATAGTCCTTTGTTTGTTGTACATATGTATTTCTATTTTGGTTTGAAGTCTGATATTTTTATCACAACCTATAAAATCATTTCTCTGCTTTTTTTTTTTAACGATACTTCCAATCTAAGGTATGATTTTCAACCTTTCTGTGATTGAATTCTATTCTTCCTGTTTAAAGCTCGGTACTTGTTGTTTGGGATTCTATTTTTTCACCACAATATGTTTGATTCTATGTTTACATCAATTTATTAACTTTGATTCCTGCTATGTTTGAACATTCCCATGCCAACTTTTATTCAGCAACAAATTGTATAACAGAAGTATATTTTTTTTTTGTTTTTTTTAATAAAAGAGTATGGTTATAGTATGTATTTTGTTATTTGATTTCATTACTTTTATTGTAAATACCTATATATTTTGATTTTTCTTTGCAGAATGATGACACAGTCAAATGTTACTTTGATTTCAGATTTGGATGTACTTAAAGATGATTCGACTATCAAAGTCGGAGTGATAAACCTATGGAACTTGTTTTCATTCTATAACAAGGACGAACTTTTCTCGATTGAATTAATCTTAATAGATACAGATGCAAAATTTGATATGATTTAATTATTAATTTATATGTTATTCGGTACTTGGACATTGTGGTTTTGAAGTTTCAAATATTTGTTGGAGATGATTTTTTTAATGGTATGTTTATCCTACATTCATAATATATTATGAATATGAATTTATGATTTAGAAATTATTTTGTTATTTAATTTATATTTTTAAGACTATTTTTGATATTATCAATGTTTTAACAAAACTATATAATTTTAACAAAACTATAAGACTTGGAAATTGGAAAATATGTATTTTATGAAGTACAATATTATGCAAATAAAAAACATACCACTCCTTGATGAATTTGGCCTGCTTTCATACCAAAATTTGAAAATTTTCTACATAGATCTATTTCTTCCTCTGGTGTTCTGTAAGTGAAACCCTAATGGTATCACCAAGCCCATCCTGTATGTACACCAAAAATCTTTTTAAAAAACTTTAAAACAAGAATGTATGATTATTGGTAGAAGTTTTTTTTATCAAAGCATTCAGAAGCAGGTCTGAGTTCTGTAATATCTGAACCAGGGTTTGAGTTTTTTATCACTGTTATCTTGGTTCTCTGAAATTTAACTCTCTTAAGGTCTAAAACTTTGACAAAATTTGAAGCTTTTGCAAACCCCAACCCATTGTCTTTGATCTTTAAACTTGTAAAGGAAGCTGGAGCGAATCCAGTAGCCATGATCAGACAAAAGTTCACAACTTCTACAATCCTGAAACATAATTGACAGAAAATCAATATATAAAAATAACAAATATATATAATTATTAGTCTTGTATTTACAAATACTTTTGTTGTATATAGAAATAACAACAAAACAAAAGAAATAACAACCAAATCATTGTATTAGTTAAACTATTTTACATATTAGACATAAATGTGGTAATTATATTCTTTTCATATAAAAATAAATCAATTTACTTACCGATTAATTTTGTTGACTATAATATTTTCTTTTTTAAAAAATTATATAGTTACAGCTATAATAGAGTTATATAATACAATAGTAGTTATGTAATACAAAACGGCTTTCTTAATATGAAATTGGATTTTTTTAGAAGTCCTAAAAGTGTGAACAGTAAAATTAGTTTATCAGAAAAGTTTAATGGCATTGCCCTTTGCCCTCAATCCTCTGAATTTAACCATCCGTAAACTTTTCCTGAAGACAAATTCAAAGCAAACAACAACATTGATCATTCAATTGAAGATTATATTCCAACTTTAGAGAGAGAGAGAGAGAGAGAGAGAGAGGGGGGGGGGGACTATGAAACAACTTTGTCCATTTGACAACCAAACAAAGTATGAAATGAATATCAAGTTCCAACAAATATGTATGTATGAAAACAGAAAAATAACTAAATATGTATGTATGCTGAGGGTGTTTTGGTCTTTTAACTAAATATGTATGTATGCTGAGGGTGTTTTGTTCGTAAACTCAAAAAACATAAATGGAATGCACCCAACAATTGTTACCTGACTGTTCTAGGCAAAAGATCAATTCTTCATACAACTATTTTCAAGACTATTGGCTGAAAGAAAATGTAATTCAGTGTCAAACTCTTCAATTCTTTTCTGAACAAGTATTCTCAAAAGATTCAGACCCAAGATTTTGTACTCTTGGGGAGATTGTGTAAGGCGACCACTATTTTTCGAACAATAAAGTAAAAATCAATTATGACTAATGATTTAGGAACAAAAACATTCATAAGCAAAATAAAAAAGATTAGATCAAACTATAAATACCCAGTATAATAAGGCTTTAGCTGAAAGAAATCTATCTCAAATGCATCTTGATCTTTCATGTTTACACTAAGCACAACAACATTCTAATAGATATCCCCTGGAATTGACCGATTAATCAAATTATATGCTTATACTATGAATAAAATGTTACTTGATCTCAATAGATTGAAGGAAGGTGAAAACAAATGCAAGTTGTTGAACACTTACTTGCTATGGTTAAATGTTCAACTACATTAGAAGTTTCTTCAAACAATGGAGGAAGTCTTTTGAATTATATCAGCAATATGGAATGGAATAGAACAAATTTTCATTCCATTCCGTCAAACAAACAACAGAATTGACAATTCCATTCCCAGAAAAAAAAAATCATCAATAGCATTTCTTCTATGTAGGTTTTGCCCTGAAACTTCAGATAAAAAAATTAATAATTAAATAAAAAAACTATTCGAAGGCCATATATATAAAATCAAATTACTTTGTGGGTTACAGAATTTAAGATGATTTGCACAAGGGTAGCGATTGTTTCTCATATCATGGAAAGGTTATAATTAAAAAAAATCTATTTTATTTTGAATATATACGATGAAGATTCGTCTCCTAATTTACAGCATTTGCGAATTCAAAAATTGAACAACTATATTTTCTCAAAACTTACAAATTACCTGATCATTTCAAATACAGACAATATTCTTTTCGTTTTAAGGAGAACGTATTTTGCCTATCATCTTCAAAGAAATTGTTCATGCATCTTCAACAGGTAAGTTATTATTCCTAAACATGTATCTTTTCTTACAAAAATTAAGAAATACGAACAATAGATACAAGGATGTGTTGAATCTTACCTTCGTATTTCTATTAACGGCTCCAATTTCTGAACTTTCGACCTGATTTTCGTTCGCCGCAAACAATAGTTCTTCAATCTAATTTGTTTCAAATACAATAACTTGAATTATTTGCTTCTGATCTTTAATAGATGTAGACGGAGCTTGAAAACAAATTGAAAATTTGAGAACAAACATTGTCTGTGTGTTGTTCCAGAAAAGTGAGATCGTCTTAGGGTTATTGGTATGTGTAATGCAATGATATTTTGGGAAAGTGTATTCCGAAATTGTATAGTATACCGTGCGTAAGTATATGTATTTCACATTATTTTAAAATTAATTTAAAT